TAACTATTCTTGTCAAATGCTTGGCCAAACCTGTAGCTTTATCCAAAGATTGAAATCCAATAGAATCTCTAACAGTACTAAAAATATCCCAAACGGCCGCCGTTCTGTTCAATTTGAATATTAATAAATTCTTATTTTTAATATCAAACTTCATAAATTCTATATTATACATTGAATCTCTACTTGTCATAGAAGATAATTCCAAGCCATTTTCTATCAAATAGATCTTAATGTTATTTCCAGACACGTAGGCCAATAGCCTTTCATCATTAGATACGGCAAACGCACCAGGCTTTTCACTATTCAAGAAAGGTAAAGTAGATTTATGCCTTTGAAATACATTCATTAATTGATTGGTTTTTAAATTATAAAGTTCAATATTTTTGTTTAGATCTCTTTCTGATGTATCTACTAAAAAAAAATGCCTACTTAAGCATCTCAAAAGATATCTGTGTGCAATATCGCTTTTTGGTACAGTCATATGTTTACTAATATAATCACTGCAATTATATCTTAAAGCATAAACTATTCTTTCAGAATATTCTAATGCTAACATCTCATCACGAAGGAAAGATTTAAAGAAGTAATAATATGAATGCCGTAAACTATAATGATATTTATAAATTCCAGATTCTCTTAAAAGAATAAGTGTGAATTGTGTGTATTCAGTAGTTATTTCAGAAAGAAATTGAATTATTCCACCATGTTCTATGTCTAGCGAACAATCTCTAGCTTCATAGTCGTTTGTTTCTGATTTGTATTCAATTGTCCATAATTTAGTAAAACCGTTCTCACCATCATGATCTTTGTACATATCTTTATGAGATATACAAGATATAGCAACCACTCTAAATTTTGTTTCTTTAAAAGTAAGTTCATCTGATACAGCAACTGTCAAACTTGAAAAATCTTTAGATTCCATCAAAGCATATTGTTCATTTTCAAATATTAATCGTTCAGTATAAGAACCGGAAATAGTTTTATATTTTTCATATTTTTTATCAAAATTAATTTCGTATAATTTTAATATGGGATCTTTGACATCGTTTACTAAAATAAAAATTAAATTATTTAAATAAATTGTTTAAGATTATATTATAATAATTAATTAAAAAAAGCTTACTGTCAAAAACAACCATAAATGATTCGTCTCTACTAACTGCTGCATATTGTTTAAATAATATGGATTCAGAAATTTCTTGTTCCACTCCTTTTTCAACTTCTATCTCAAGTTTTTCTGTAGGTTCATCCTCGTAATCCATAATTTTAAATAATTAACTGTTTTGGTTAATCAATTGTTTAAAAGGATTAAAAATCAAGAAATAATTTCTTTTATCCTTGTTTTTCAATATTCATGTTGGCTTTGCTGGCTAAGCCTAGAAAACCTGCAAATATTTTTATTTTATAAAAACAGAAATCAGGGCCAAAATATTGACACAAATATAATTTGAATTTAAAAAACATATCACTGGTTGCTGCGCCGATATAAACGTAACGGCTTACTATCAACATTTCACGTAAGTATTCTCGTTAATAAATATTAAGGCGAAGCGAATAACAGGTTAAAAAAATAAAGCCATGCAAATTTAATGTATCATATTTGGCATTATTATTTGTTATAAGAAACATGTTGAGAGATTAAATTTGTAGGTTTTGTCTCGAGTCACATGTAGAGTAGTGCTTGGATCCGGATAATCCGGATATCCGTTTAGCTTATTCGGATATCCCATATCCTTATCCATTATCCATATCAGTTAAGCAGTTGCTTATCCCGTTATCCATATCCGTTTAAATTATAATCATCCGGGATCCAAGCACTAAACCGGGTAACAATAGTCATGACTCGGTTACAGGTCTTAGACGGGTTACCCGGGTGACTCTTATACGGGTACAATCACTAGTTGTATCAAAGTCGTTCAAATTCCAAGGTTAAAGTCTCTACGTGGTTCGATCCAGATAAAAGAAGATCAGTATTATTAAATAATCCTAAAGACATAATTACCAGAAGATTAAGGAGAGATACTTACCTACGAACCCAAACCACCGACCAAATCCAAACGCCCTCTTTTGATAAGCCATTCGTAGGTTATTAGAGATTTCCTATCGTCAAGCAACTGACTCGCCGTTTTCCAATCATCTTAATAAATATCTTGTTGCATCACTAACTAGGTAGTTGTACAAAGCACAATATTACGTAAATGCATGATAGTGCAATTTATATAAAAGCAAATAATTCTGCCTTATCTGTTATGTAGATTTTTTTCGTATTATTTTTATATAACAAAAAATGTCAGATGAAGAAGAAATTACTAAAATTACTAGAAATCTAGGTCAATTAGCTTTTGCTGATTATGAAAAATTAGCAGATAAGGAAGATTCTAAAGGAATAATCATGCTTGGTTATTGTTATGAACATGGAATTGATGCCGAAAAGGATGAAAATAAAGCATTCTCATACTATCAAAAATCTACCGAATTAAATAATTCTTATGGGATGTATAAAGTTGGCCAATGTTATCTTAATGGAATTGGGGTTGAAAAGAACGAACATCAGGCATTTATTTGGTATGAAAAATCAGCAAATGAGGGAAATTCTAATGGAATGTATCAAGTTGGCGTTTGTTATGATTTAGGAATTGATGTTAAAACTGATAAACAAAAAGCATTTGAACATTATGGGAGATCTGCTAAGGCAGGCAATTCAAAAGGATTCTCTAAAATAGTCGAATTATCTGACGAAATGGGACGTGATGATGGAATGCTTCAAGTTGGCTACTGTTACCTTCACGGAATTGGAGTTGAAAAAGATTACAACAAGGCATTTATTTGGTATAAAAAATCAGCAGAGAAGGGAAATTCTAAGGGAATTTTCATGCTTGGTTATTGTTATGATTTAGGAATTGGAGTTGAAATTGATGAGCATAAAGCATTTGAACACTATCAGAGATTAGCCAAGACTGAAAATTTAAAAGAAAGCTTTAAGAAAGATGTTCAATCTGCTGGAATGGGTCACGCTAACGAAATGTATCAAGTTGGGGTTTGTTATGACTTAGGAATTGGAGTTGAAACCAATAAGCAAAAAGCATTTGAACACTATAAAAGTTCTGCTAAGGCAGGCAATTCAAAAGGATTCTCCAAGATAGTCATTTTATCCGATAAAATGGAACGTACCGATGGAATGATTCAAGTTGGGAATTGTTATATCAACGGAATTGGAACTAAAAAGGATGAACACCAAGCATTTATTTGGTATAAAAAATCAGCGGATAAAGAAGATTCTAAGGGAATAAATTATGTTGGCTTTTGTTATCTTCACGGAATTGGTGTTAAAAAGGATGAGAAAGAAGCATTCACATACTATCAAAAATCAGCAGATAAGGGAGATTCTGACGGAATGTTTCAAGTTGGATTTTGTTATTATCATGGGATTGGTGTTAAAATGGATAAACAACAGGCATTTGAGTATTACTTAAAATCAGCTGAAATGAAAAATTCGATCGGAATTTTTAAAACTGCCATTTGTTACTGTTACGGAATTGGTGTAAAAGAAGATTGGGACAAATTTTATGACTGGAGCTATAAGTAAGTTATAGTGATTTTCAAATGACACTTCAGGAATAAGGAACCCAGTGATCTATATGATGTACAATGACGTCATTTGTTTACTAGCACTAACAAAATCAGCCTAAATTATACTCTAACCCTAACCCTAATTTAGGCCGGGTGTCATGTGATAATCAATGGGTTCCTTGTTCTTTTCAAATTACTGTGATCATGTATCACACCGAGAATTAGGAATCAAGAAAAAAAATAATGCAAATCTATGATTGGCTAAAAATTATTTTTAACCAACCATATATTTGCATTTTTTTCTAGATTCCTGATTCCCGGTAATTTGAATGAAAAGCACTCAAATTTAAATTTTTGTCTTAACAATTATTATAACCTTAATGTCGTTTATATAATTTTAATTATTAGAGAGTAAGAATAAATAGTTTATTAATTATTAAATTTGCATGCAATTCAAGTTTATTTTATTTGTTTGTATAATTTATTTAGCTCGTGAGTATAAAGATGATTTATTAACGTTATTCAGTGGAATTATTGAATTAAATCATTCACATAAATACTTATTCTTAAATACTTAATTCATTTATAATAAATTAATTAACTGATAACACTTTAAATCATTTCATTCATATTAATTTAGTCTGTGAGTATAAAGATGATTTATTAACGTTAATCAGTGGAATTATTGAATTAAAATCATTCACATAAATACTTATTCATAAATATTAACTCTAATTACCTAATTATTTCAAATAGAGCGTGAGTATAAAGATGATTTATTAACGTTAATCAGTAGAATTATTGAATTAAAATCATTC